CACTTCTTGTAGCTCGGCCTTCTTTTTTGCGGGTTTCGGCGTGGTCCACTCCTGAAATCCATTGAGCGATTTCCACGCAAATGGAAAGTCTAATTATTATCATATTGTAAGGTCGTTCTGCACCTTTATGCGTGTTCTGTTGAAATATTTTCCTATGTGCTGTTTTAAAACCTGTCACAAACTACGTGCGAATTCAGCCTCCCTGCCACCACCAGCCAAGTGGGTATTTAAACCATTAAGAGAATATCCGGGTATTTCTGTGAAACGAACGTGGCCATGACCGCATTTGGCGTCGTCTGAGCACAGCAACTGAGTGGGGCCATACGTTGGCAGGGTTTCGTTTATCCAGATTATGTGTAAAACGACATATAACAGTTTGCGTTTACGCAATTTAATTGTATTTACGTACAAGTTTACTGATTATAAAGGTTCTCCTGTAAGGATGTCAATCATACACTGTTTATTGTCAAATCAGCCATGAAGGCGTAAATGCTTAATTAATAAAAGTATTGCGGTTTATATCTTAAGAAAAAATATAATAAAATACAGACACAAATTATTCTTTGGTTAGGACTTATTAAAACTTTTAGCTTAAGCGACACAAGCAATGAAATTTGCACTTTATTCATAATTTTGAATAAAAGGGTGCGTAAATGTTACACTGTTTTTAGAACCTTTTTGATTTTACCCGTGATTTTCTTTAAATTTTGACCCGTCATTCTTATTAGTATTGACTATGCCGGCTGTGAAGAAGGTATGTTTTATAGATAAGGTTAACCTTTGTAAAGCTTTCGGAATTTATAGAGGAGAATTTCTCCTCTCTGGATTGTTGCAACTACGTACACGATGAAAATAATGCGGAATCAACTCTCGAAAACCCTCAGTACTTTGCATATTAACATTCGCTCTACATTTTAGCTGTCAGTGTGGTGAAAGAAAAGTATTCCATGCAGATAGCAGCGAAGCGATAAAAAAGACCGAATTTACTAAAGACCGGCAATGCACAAAAGCATATGGAGTTTTGAAGGTTTACATAAAAGGCATCGCCACATCATCAATGAATGTAAGTTGAGTATGATGCCTTTTTATCGTACTTTTGAATTAAGTTTAATTTAAATTTATCTAATAACGATAATTTACTGAACGTTTCTAATGATTCTGTTTCTCTTAGCAGTATGTTATATCTTCATTTTTACAGTATCTCCGATTATCTTCGAAAGATCATAATGATTCCGTAATTGATCTCCTTGTTAAATACTGGAAAGTAATTCCTGAGGATCAGGATGTTGTCTGCATTTCATTTATTGGAGCAGCACTTGATGATGTAGGAGAAATGGCATTTAGGCCTATTGAGCAGGTAAATTACATTCACCTTCTTTCTTCTATACGTTCACTTGTTCTTACACGCGTCCTGACAATGACATTGAACTAATAAAATACAAGGAAGCTGATAATAGAACTAAAATGCGTGATGCTTTTCTCGCCTGTCTACTATAAACTTATTTCTCCTTGCATTTGAAAAAGTAAAAATTTTAACCATTTTTTCATCAATTTGGCAAGGCTTTAATTGAGACTGCTCGAACTATGAACATAGTTGTTATAGCAAATGGTGAGGACAACGTCTTAACGCGAAATATTGGTCGCATTCTGACGAACGTGAGAAGAATGCTTGCCGTAACCAAGGAAAATAGCCTTCCACCACGGTTTCTCGGCATCATGCCATGGGGCAACATTCCCGAGAAGAAAAACCTAAGCTGCCACGTAAGGAAGTCTTCGTTTTTTCATATCCTTCTATTTTTTTATGAAATGACCCACCAGTTAAAAGGTGGATTTTTGGATTTTTAGGGTGGAGAGGCGGTTATTAATTGTGGAGCGCCAACTGGCCTATATACACAACAGATATACCCATTTTTAACAGACTTGCTATTGGTTGATAATGGTCGTCGAGAAAAACCGGAGATACTCACATGCAATGACTTCCGGTGGCGGCTGGAAAGCAAAATTGGAGGTAGGGACTTTTTCTGACATTCATAGTTAGTAAATGTGCTGTAAACGCCAGAGTCTAGAAAAGTATTCTTACGATCTGTTTATTGAAAACTTTCAAAATATTTCAATAGCATTTCTTGCGACTTAAATCGCTTTTAGGTCGGCTGGTTTGAATGTTTCTCTTGGTTATTGACTGACTCATTGTTGCGTAGACGTACATTGTTGTTAAACGTTTCCCAGAGGCTGCTCTTTTAGGATTTAGCCATTGGTTTGCCTTCGATCTGCGGAGATTAGGCACTTAGTGTTTTTTGAATAACGTTTTGCGTCATTTTTCTTCGAAAATTTATATTTATTCCCCGCGCTTTCTAGTACATTAGTTAAGTGGAAGTGAACAGCTAATTTTATGTTATCCTTATATCATAGGAATATTACTTGCGGACCGTTTACCGTTCCTACGCGGATAAAGCTGTGAATGGCTTCGATATTTATCGAGGACCTACCTTTTAGTTATGGAATTGCTTCGTATCTTGTGTTAGTGAGATTTCTGTATTTTCTAAAGTTCCGTGAAATTTTCATTAGTAGTTTACTTGCCGAAAGTAATTATCGCCAGTTCTGATTTTTCTAGAATTCTCCATTTGCTGCACTAAATGTTTAATAAAATTCACTTGATGCCGCATGTGCATATCAGTGTGACGGAAAAATTCGCAGGCTCTGAAAAATGGTTCTTCGGTTTCGTAATCGATACTTGCTTACTGAAAAATAACCTCAGTCATTTTGTTTTTTTAATTCTGCTAACTTGTTTAGCAACCATCGGATGCTATAATACATGGCTAACTGCTCAGTGTGTTATACGTAGTGAATCATTCTGCATAGCCATGCGGTGTGAAATTGTAATTACAACTGTGATTGTCATTTCACAAGATTGAGACTTAATTCAAAATGGCAGATTTATATATCATCAGTCAATCTAGGGCAGGTATAAGTCGATAATTTACCTTTGCAATAACTAAAAAGGAAAAAAAAACAGCCACAGAGAAGATCTTAGTCTTGAAACAGGACCCAACAGTTAACCCCTTATTCTATCAGCCGGGTTACTTGGCAGTGCTGTGTATGTGTTTTTTGGTTGTCTATACATTCTATAGCCTGACTGTCCTTTTATAGTCATTAAATACATAAAATCTTCAGTATAGGTCAGAGTAGTACGTTAGGAGTTTATTGATAGAAACGAACAGAGACAATCTCAGGAAGCAGTTTGGGCGAGGATAAATGTTCTGGAACAAGACGTTTATTAGCCTGAGGTTTCGAATTTTCTGTCTGGCACAAGAGCAGAGGCAGTCCCAGACAAGGGTGTCACGGCTGTCTCTGATGATGGGTCCTAATGAGAACTCGAAAGGAGATGCCAACGAATTTTTCATTCCAACGATCGCATCTTCTTTGTTCGAAGAGTTCTAGTATCGTAATTCCAAAACCAAGTTCTTTAGACCGAAAAATTGGCTTTCCCAATTTGCACAGATAACAAATTTCACAGATTCACAAATCCGAAATCCTTACACTAATTCAATTGTTGGTGGTTTAATACCATCAATCAATTGGTATTGTGCCAGTGATATAAGATTTTGCGTCTAATCGTGAGTATTATTATTGATTTGAAGAGTTGCTAGTTTATTAAAGGGACAAAACAGCCGATAAATTTGAGGCTCGAATTACAAGAAGACGTCTACGTTCTCTCAACACTTGTAACCCTTACGGCTAATCACAGTAAAACGGCAAATATTTTTACAAGGAAGCTTTAAACTAGTGAATTTGCTTGTTGTTGCATTGAAAATATCCACCCTTCTGCATTCGTTAAAAGTAGAAGCTCGCGAAAATAGAAATAATGACCATTTTTGGTGAAAATGCTTAGCCTTGGGAAACATTACATTACGTTTCCGATGTTCCGAAAGCATACAGGTCTTAATCGTCCAAGCTGTTATAATCGTGCTCACTGTCACATTGACGACAGTAAAGGGATCTTGTTTATTTGTACAGCTTGCAAATAAAACGCATGCTCACTCAACCCGCATATTTTCTAATTGATATATTGAATAGGTAACTTTGCTTACATCATCAATGGCTGCTGTTGCATACTAGCTTCTCCATATAACCATGAGCATTCGCGTAAGTATCTTAAGAGTTACAGTTGTTCAAGCGAAATAGCCAAAACCATTGATATTTGTGGCTTATCTGCACCCATTGTTTCACTCAACAGCTACTGTTGGCTGCTTGATGTTCGAGTAGAAAATTGCGGAAGTTTGCATCTCTGATTGATTTTTTACTTATTTATTCGCATGCGAACGTCCTTCGTTTTGTCACATAATATTTTTCAGTACGTAAAAACAATCGAACAGTTTGTATTCTGTGGAACGGAAGCGTTGGAAGCATAATAGAAGCTGAGTCAAGGATTAATCGGCTTATCCCCCTCATTACTTTGCATCGGACTGGCGGTGCGGCAGATGTTATCACAAAAGCCAGACAGTTAAGATCGGAATACAGCGAGTACGTTTTGAGGTTTTTCGAATTCATTGAATTTTTTATGTTATGATTTATAATTGGAAATCCAAAAAAACCGTTTCCTTTAAAGTCGAAAAATTGGAAATCATTAACATTTTTCCTAAACATATTTACCTTGGTTGATGAAAGTGTAGACATTTTACCTAACCTTTAATCTAGATAGAGCAGTTTGCTAACAAGATTTCTAAAAGTATTCATTGAAGCTTGACAGATGCAGCAATCTAAGTAGCCTTGAAAAACTTCTTCGTATGTCGCCCTATTCAAAATCTTCATTTCTAGTCTATTTTTGCATCCTTTCGTTGCATATTATCTAGCCCTATTGGCCTTAATCTCTTAAATATTAGTTATTCTTTATAGTATTGTGGTGTAGCCATATTAGTTAAAGAACCCTTTTGCTCTTGGGTTCAGCCAGAAGATATAAGTGGTTGAGAAGAAGAAGACGACTAGATCGTTGGGACAATACTTTTATTCACCTGATGTTTCTATATCTGTCGCGGATCCGTCATCAGAGACATAGTCAGAAAGCACTGGCAGATATACCTGATATGATTGATGTTGCATTTAATCCGTTTTGGAAGCATGAATGTCGTCCATTTGGCTTAGTCTTATTTTCTTATGCGTTATTGCTAATTTAATCGTTCAGATTTGAAGACTTTGATCCTGAGCACATGATTGAGCTTTATGAACGCCTACGTTCCCTACATGAGGATATGGAGGTTGAAGAAGCATATGACGAGTTGAAGCGGATGTTTATAAACGAGAAGATTCTATTTACATATGACATGCGTTCAAAAGACCCATTTATCAGTACATTATTTGACGCCTTTGCAAAGTATACTTTTACTCCTGCGGACTTCTTTGAGTTTTCGCTGAAATGGGACCGCGATACGGGTGTTTTGAACCTGGGAAGCGCATACCTATCTATCATTCCTCAAGGTAAGTCGTCCTAATAGAAAAATGACTTTCCCGTTTTATTCTTTGGTATCAGCGTAAAACGCCCGCATCTGTAGGTATAGGAGGCGGTTGCAATTTAATGTAATTTGTCAGTGAATGAGATCGTAATAAAGGTAAGTATTTCTATTTTAGCGGCAATAAAACTGATATTTTTTGGGATCACAATCGTTTTGACCCTAATATTTCGAACCATGTGAGCCGAGATTAGAATCAAACACAACGTTGAAGTATTCTTCCATGATCTTCCTTCATAGTAGGCAAATCGATGTTAGGAATTAAATGAGTGAAATGCGTACAGTGTTAACCGACAATATTTCAAGCACAGAAAGATGGTGGCTTTCGAATGAACGTCCGAGGTTTGGCCTCCTGAAAAACGTCAACTGATGGCAAAATCACTACTTATTTAGTGCGTACTTTGCATGCCGAATTACGATGCCCTTACATATTCAAATGTAGTTTATAGAAAACGCAAGCAAAAATATGTTTCGCCTTCATCTGCAATAACGTAATTTTTAAGTGTTATAGTCAAAGAAAACGCATAGTAAGGTTCCAAAAACTTTTGCAATTGCCGAATCATTTTGAGTCCGACCCACTGCTGCATTTGTGTTGAGGGTTTGTAGTCCACAGTTCACGTGATTTCTGTTGAAAGAATATTCTATTTTCCCGCATGCCATTAAAAAGATAACGTTTAGTGCTCGTACAATTTTGCAATGGATGTTGAATACACCGTATACCTTATTAGAAGTATTAACAAACGGGCATATAAGACGCTTTTTGAATGGAAAATTTACATTCTTAAAAAGTGCCCAATTAAAGACATTAAAAAAACCAAAAAAATGATATTTTTGCTTGCGTTTTCTACAGAAAATATTTGAGTTTGGAAGGGAATCGAGAATTAAAAGGAAAATGCAAATTACTTGACTAGTCATTTTTTATTGATTATCTTGCAGGAGATCGAAAAGAGGTTCATTTACAATCCAGCCACCTGCTTTGTGTGATATATCTTGGGATAGTGATCCTAGCTAATAATTACTACGATTGCACTTAAATCATTATTCCTGGTTTAAAATCTATTTAAAATTTTGTTTAATAATGCATGAAATCTGCCACGGACTGTATCACAAGTAGTTATCACACTCTCGAACTGGTTTTAGAATAAAACATACTGGCCACTGAACAGGTTGATGAGGCCGCGAGCAAAGGAAGCCAGAAGTTGATTTAACCTATGCCTCAGACGCAAAGTTAACCAAATGGCATATGTGTAGATTTTGCCGCTGCATGAAAGTATCAACCCAGAAATTCCCATGCGCAATGGATTACCTAAAATAGTGTGTACTGCTACTTGATTTGGCTCTGCTGTAATATATACATGAATTACTGTTGGGGTTCAAAAAACAAAGAAGCAATGGACTGCTAAAATTTTTCACTGATTCCATTTACGTCTTAGCTTGGACACATGTCATTATTTGCATACATTGATATATTTTCTTAGTAATTTATGGCTTTGTAGGCGCTAAAGGTTCCCATACTGAAGGACTTGGTTGGATCTTCCAAAGGATCAAAAGGTTAGGGTCAATGGAAGAAGGCTCATATACGAGAAAACGTCAAAAATTATGACACGATCAGTACATTTTGTGATCTTCTATCAAGCACACATTAAGCAGTTGTGAATGTAAAGTATCTTCAAACTTCCTCCTTTCACCCTCTCAATTACGAGTGGTGAATTCCCCCCTTATTTTTTTCTATTCCCCTCGAACGCAAATATTTCATTCCGTGCCCTTCCTCAGGAAAATGGCCTTGTGCGTAGTAAGCGAACGCAACTAGCTGTTTTTCGTAATCACTGCAGCGTATCTTTTTCGCCGACTCATCTGTGTCGTGATGTTTGACCCCTGCGAGGATAGGAACCCCCCAGTATTACAGGTGGTTTTAAGCTGAATGTCATGAATGTACGCATGCCCGTGTGCTGCCCTTAGTTTTCATATCAATCCCAGTCCAACACTCAAATCCTAGCGCCAAACTTAGCTCCAACCTTCAAATAAAGGTTTATCCCAATATTTCTTAGATTTACCGCAAATACACCTGTATCACAGGGTAGTAGGTTTCAATGCCCATGACGTACCGCGTTTTACTTTGATTGTAGTCCAATGGGGCGTAACTAATAACTTTGGAGGTGACTGATTCCTTTTCTCGAAACTGCATCTTTCTGTCCTTCGCCTGCAGTGCACCACGTCGTGCGAATTCGATCGACATTGGTGAAGTTAAATATCACGTGTGGCTGCGCGCCTAGGGCGGCTCCGATCATGCCTGCTACCTGCATCCTCGTCCACATCCGTTCTTACTGACTG